ATTCTATTTATTTTGTATGTCAACATATATATTTCTTTACAGATCCGGCATTTATCTATCACATTCGTATATATCAAACTCAGGCTATTCCTTTTTATGAGAGACACTGCCTCTCTCTCTAACTCTCTCTCCCTCGCTTTCTCTTTCTATCTCTTTATTTGTCGATCTACTGACGATTCGTAACACTTTTGTGTAAGTTTGTACATACATATATATATATATATATATATATATATATATATATATATATATATATATATATAGATAGATAGATAGATAGTTATACATACTTTTGTTTACTTTATTCTTCTGATTGGCGACGAGATATTTCTCTTCGCGACGACTATCTCAGTTAGTTCATATCTATCTATCTATCTATCTATCTATCTATCTATCTATCTATCTATCATGTCTTTTCACATCTATCTATCTCAGTTTGTCCATATCTATTTCAGTCAGTTCTCATCTATTTCAGTCTGTTCATATCTAGCTATCTATCTATCTAGCTATCTATCTATCTAGCTATCTATTTCTACCTCTCTCTATATATATATGTGTGTGTTTGTGTATATATATATATATATATATATATATATATATATATATATATATAAGTTCATATGAATGTAATGTATATATGTATGTATCTATCCCAGTCACATCATATCTATCTATCTATCTATCTATCTATCTATCTATCTATCTATCTATCTATCTATCTATCTATCTGTTTCATCATTTGCTCTTTACATAAACAAACAGGCGAGCGCACACGCATATACGTGTATTAAGCGGATGAGAGAAATTCAAAAACAGAATAAGGAGAAGACATCTTTTTATTATTAGGCCATTAGACAAAAAATAGAAACATGAGAATAATTGTTTAAAAATTATTTTTATTATTCTATAAAAACATTTTTAAAATTATTTTTATTATTCTATGTTCGAATTTCACTCATCTGCGTACTACACGAACATTCTTTAAGAAGCATATGTGGTCACATGTCTCTCTTTCTCTCTCTCTCTCTCTCTCTCTCTATATATATATATATATATATATATATATATATATATATATATATATATCAGGTAAGATAAATAAAAGCCCACAAACCTTATAGCCCCTCCTTTTTTCTTTTTTTTCGTAAAAAGCAGTTGTATTTTTGCTTTTAAATCTAAAGAAATCGTTCACTCGCCATTAATTTACAATCGTCTGATCAGATGCATTTGATACGCATCTAAATACGACTGCAATTGTGTAGAGATTTTGACATGGTTTCTGTGTAAAATCCATATATATATATATATATATATATATATATATATATATATATATATATAATTTAATCGAAAATTATATCATAAACATGTCATGAAATCGCTAGAAAAAGCCATTTTGTTTCAACACTTCTGGTGTCTTAGAAGTGTTGAAACAAAATGGTTATTTTTGTAGTGATGTTATAACATATTTATGTTATAATTTTCGAATAAATTATATTTGCTCTAATCTGTAATGAGCACTCTTTTAAGAATAATATTTTTGGTTATTGGAATATATTCGTATACAACAATCGTATACACACACACACACACACACACACACACATATATATATATATATATATATATATATATATATATATATATATATATATAGATAGTTAGTTAGTTAGTTAGTTTATGAAAAACTAGGTAATCCGTATGGGTAAACCTAAGGAGGATAAAATCCAGAGAGCTCAATGTAAATCCAGAGCAAATAATTTAAATGTATCAATATATGCTAACTCGCTCATGTCTTCTCTTTCTCCCCCCTCCCTTCCTCACTTCGTTAATTTACATATGTTTAATACGGCCCGTCAAAAATGTGTAAATTTTCTCTTCATTTTGTGTTTGAAGTCTGATGATCCGCAGTCCTTTTTAAAAGGGCTGTGGTGAAATAATTTATTACATGGAACCTTAAAAGTGGTCTGTTTTATTTTTATATATATATATATATATATATATATATATATATATATATATATTTATATATACGTATCTGAGTAAACATTCCGTTAGATATTCCGTGTTTTATTTTAAATAGTATTTATTTCGTCTGCTGGTCTGCCAACTCAAGAAAACGTATTAAAGAAGACTTGCTCTGCGATAGGATTGAGACACTGTAAACCTTACAAAAATAACCAATATTTGATCCTGTGTGATTTAACTGCTTCACAATCAAGCCAGGTCCAAGTTGCCTTTGAAGCACACCCACTCGTTCAGGTTTTTTCGACAAGACATATCTGCGTATTCTTCATGCCACCATTTTTACCTCAGAATCAAAGAATTTATATTTGTAATTTATCGAATATCTCGGCCTGACGAAAGTTATGACACCATACACAGGTAAAAGTCAATCAAATGACCCATTGAATTGATTGTTGATTTATTATCTAATATATATTATATATATATTATATTATATCATGTTTTATTTCTTTTTATGTGTCGTGTCCCTTCAGGACGTAGGCGATCATGGCTCTCCACTTCCCCATATCACTTGTAGCTTCGTCCCTCCGCCACATTCCCCACACCACATTCTGTCATCCACTTGCTTAAACCCGCTAGATATGTCATGCGTTGCTTTCCCTTGTCTCTCTTTCCCTCTATTCGACCTGTGAGTATCAGATTCTCCAAGCACTCTTTTCTCATTACGTGTCCTAGAAACTTCAGCTGCCTATTCCTGATGTTAAGTATAAGCTTCCTCCTTGTTTGAATCATCTCCAGAACCTCATCGTTACTCACACGCTTTACCCATATCCTCAGCATCCTTCTGTAGAACCACATCACAGTCGCCTCGAATCTCTTCTTCATCTTTGATATATATATATATTATATTATATATATTATATTATATATATTATATCCCATATATTTTATTATATATATTATATATAGTATATATACAGTATATTCATTATATTATATATATTATATGATATTATATTACATATATCATATTACATATATTATATTACATATATTATATATATTATTATATATATATTACATTATATATATTACATATATTACATATATATATTACATTATATATATTACATATATTATATTACATATATATATTATATTACATATATATATTATATTACATTAAATATATTACATATATTATATATATTATATTACATATATTATATCTAGTTTACAGTATGAATTGTGATCAAACATACATTAGAATCTGATGAATGAAAGGATAAAGAACACTTAAGAAACGTTTATTTATTTAACATGTTTTGCTTATGGATGAGAAAAGAAAATTCTGATATTTTTTTTTTATTTTCGTGTTGTTTGTCTTTCATTGGTAAAGCAAACCTTACGTGTATTTGCCTTGTCAGGTAGCGATCGTGTGTATAATTCTTATGTTCTTGTGTGTTATAATTCTAGTTGACCTATGTGTGATTTGGTTGATAATGTGTGTGTGTGTGCGTGCGTGCGCGTGCGTGCGTCTAGTGGACATTTTCGTATGGTAATGTCCGTATGTTGATTCGGGGATGTTTTTGTGTATATATTGGGTATGTATTATATAGTTTATATCAGTGATGTTCAAGTGATGTGCCGTGAAAATTATTCAAGACCATTAATAAAATTATTTTCAAAAGAAAATAATTATACATAACAAGATTAAAAACCCCTTAAATTGATTATATGAGTATATCGTTGTTATAATAATTAGTCATATACATAATATTTAAAGTAGATAATGTGTGAGAAATGACACCACGCGACATGTTCTTAGATGATGCAATTTGACAAGGACTTGCTGATGATCACTGATAAAATTTGAAATCACCCAAAGTTGATTTCGGGAATAACTCAGTAATTTCTCATTGTGCCCGTATTGAATTGTGCCCCAAGATGTAGTGAGAACGTTTAGCTTATATTAGATGCATTTTTTATTTGCATTACAAAGCGTACAATTAAAATCGACAAGTTTTTAATTAGAAGATGACACAATTTTAATTTTGTACTTGATTGAATTTTGCAATTTGGAATGTGCATGTTGCTCTCTTGGTTTTGCTAACAACCATGGACAAGTTTCCAAACAAAAAACGACACAAAGAAGATATACAATTTTCTTTTTAAATCAGGCTCAAATATCTCGTTAAATGTTAAATTATAATAACCAGAAAAATTTTTTGTTTATAAATATGAGTTTATTTTTAATAATTTTAACTATTATCTCTTTATTATAAATTATAATAAATTGTTTTGTTTGTGTTAATAAATAAATCATAAAAGTTAGCATTTTTTTCTGTTTTTTATCACCATCATTTAAGTGCACCGCGCAAGTTTAACTATAGATGCAAGTGTGCCATGAGATAAAAAAATAAAGTTAAAGAAAGACATTGGTTTAAATACGAGGGATATTCGAAAATTACATGCACTCTTATATAAAATATGTTATCGGGAAAGTACGCATAATTTTATAATTGATAACAATACACACAAACATAGACACACACACACACATATATATATATATATATATATATATATATATATATATATATATATATATATATATATATATATATATGTATGCACATATATATACATATATGCATACATACATATATGCATATATATATATATATATATATATATATATATATATATATATATATATATATATATATGTATGCATATATGTGTGTGTGTGTGTGTGTAAGACTGTAGGTGCTTGAATATGTATAAATATGTAAATATATTTGTTGATGTTTATTTAATATATATATATATATATATACACACACACATTGTAACACTTCGTAATACATATGTGTGTGTGTGTGTGTATGCGAATGTCCGTGTGTGTGTGTGTGTGTGTGCGCGCCCATATGTGTGTGTGTTTGTGTGTGAGTGCGTGCGCGTGCGTGCGCTTATATGTTAAAGAGAGAAAATCAAAAGGAAAAAGGAACATTTTGCGTTAGAAAAGTCTGTTAAAGTCTCTTGAGAAAGTGTGGCAAGCAGAAGTGAGTGGGTGAGGTGAACTGGGTGGGGTCGCCGTTCACAGCGGCAATTCCAAATCGCAATCCACATGGGTAGTGGATGAGAAGGAGGCGGGAGTGAGGCGTAGTGGAGAGGTAGATGGTAAAGCATGGGGGGTTCGAACGTTTGTAGGGGAAAAAAGAGGGTAGGGGGGATTGATGGGCGGGGTGAGTGGGGAGGGAGTGCTCTCCTTACAGAACAACTCTGTGCAGGCTGTGTGCTTCCAAGACTGTTTTTAGGTGCGTTTCTAATTTGCTTCTATCTAAACAGAGAAATCTTCGCTTAGAAACGGAGGGAGATGCTGGTGAGGCGACAGAAACCGAGGTAGGTGGTGGATGAGTGAGAGGACGTGAGGAAGAACGATAAAGGAATGCATGAATGAGAAAGGGAGTGAAAGAAAGCAGGGAAAACATTCTCTAAAGTAAAAGAATTTAAGTAATACTTGTTTGCAATGATGCAGCTATTAACACAAGTACAAAGAAAGAAAGAAAGAAAGAAGTGAAAGATAGAAAGAAAGAACGAAAGAAAGGAAGAAAGAAAGAAAGAACGAAAGAACGAAAGTAAGAAAGGAAGGAAGAAAGAAAGAACGAAAGAAAGAAAGAAAGAAAGAAAAGAAGGAAGAAATAAAGAAAATACAAATAAGCGTAAGAAGAAAATGACTAGATACATTAATGAAGAAAGAAATGAATAAGAATATGAAAAGACTCATGTTATTTCATATATATATATATATATATATATATATATATATACTGGTAAAATGTAAACAAATAGTATATAATTACACTGTCCGTAAGTGGGCTCGATAAAGAATAAAGCTAAATAATATTTATTTTAGGCTCTTAAAACAAAAACATGTTAAAAATCGCTACCCGATTACAAATATGTTTCAACACTAAAAATGTGCCTCCTCGAGCGATGTTAACCTACTGAAGAGTGAACGATGATTTTAATTTCAGAAACTAGAATATTCCCTTTTTTTTTCTCGAGAAAAAACAGATTTAAAAATAGGCTTGTGGGTTTTATTGTGATTAACCAATCAACTATGACCTACGCTAAATACAAACTCATCAATTTTTTATTATTATATAGGTCATGAAACGAAGTTGTCTGCATATAAATCTAGACAATTTCATTATGCCCAGATACAAATGTTTACAATATAATATATATATATATATATATATATATATATATATATATATATATGATGCTTGGAAATGTGATCTGAGGAACCAGGAAAAAACAACTTCCTGGGGAAATAAAATATAATCAATGGACTCTTAAAGTTGTCTGTTTTCTAATTAAATTAATATTTGCTCTGATTTGACATTCAGCTCTCTGGATTGCGTCCTCCTTACGATTATCCATACGGATTACCAAACTTTTCATTACCATTATATATATATATATATATATATATATATATATATATATATATATATACCCACAAAGAAGCGGGGCACGTAAGGTTTAAGATAAATCTTAAAAAATGAAAAATCTTTTCTTGAGGCTTTTATTTTAGTTTCAATTTCAAGATCATAGATTTCCAATGAGTAAAATATTTTGCTATATTTCAAAAACTAATTTAAACTAACTGTAAGATTTTTTAATCGCTAAAAATAATTGATTTTAGCCATTTTTAGACATCTGTCAGCACAATGTAATTCTCTTTATTAAAAAAATTTTCAAAAATAAAATATGCTTTTCTGAAACATTGCATACTTTTAGGCTAAAAATACATTCGCAGAAATACATTTTTTTACAGAGAACTTAATGTTTTGACAGATTGACAACCTGAAGTCCAATATTTTTCTACGGGGAACATATCTGTAAAAATTACATGATGAGTATAACATGAGCACCGTTCTGAAGTAATTTTCAACTCTCCAGTAATCTTTAAAAATTAGGAATATATTCTCCATAATCTAATGTCTTATTGAATTTTAGAAACTTTGGATTTAAATTTACTATAGTTATTGCTTTTATATTTTTGATAATGTCGTGTATTTACAATAATCGGTACGTTTATATACACAAAAAATCAAAAATTCTTTTTAAAATATTGGAGTTAGCTGAACTGCAGTAGGGTTTTTCTATTTATGACTAATTTTGCTTCGTAACAATATCATCTAACCGGTACAAATTCATCATTTTTTCTTAAGACAATAGTGTTCATAATATATTTTATTCATAAAAGCAATTAAATCTTTTTTAATGAAATAATGCCTTTGTTTTATTATAGTTTTTATTTTAAGATTCATAATAGAATTTCTGTAACTGGGTGTCCTATATTACCAAAAAATGATTTAATTTCTCCAATGTTTTGTGCACTTAACTAATATCGTCATTAAGTGGGTGGTAGCAGATATAAAAAAAAAAGTTTTTACCAAATTTTCTAAAAGTGAAATATTTCTCAAATAATTTAATTCATTTGTGAATAATTCCTGAAAGTCTCATTAAAATCCGCCATTTTTTTTGTTTTCTAAGTATTTCCAAATCAATGTGTTTTTCACCGCAAAAAAAAAAGATGCTATAATTTGCTATACAAATCTTTGGTTGCCCACCCGCCGCTACTGAAGGAAGGAAAACGAGATTTTTAACCAAAATTTCGAACGTTCTAGAAAGGATAAAATATAATTTAATAACCAACAAACACATTTGTGTTTCCCATTAATAATGGATTTTGACGATAAAATTTTTGTTTGTGTCAAGTTTGTGGCATTATTTTCCTTATGCTATTTTTTAGGGAAAGAAAAGAACGTATTTACAAATATGAAGGAGGTTAAAAAGTAAATGTTAACGATGCTGCAGCAATTACCAAAATAACCTAACCCTACCAAAATAATATAACCCTACCAAAATAACCTAACCCTACCAAAATAACCTAACCCTACCAAAATAATATAACCCTACGGAAATACAGATGAAAGATAAAAATAGAAAGAAAATCAGAGAATGGACAAAAGAGAAATCAAAAGTCAAAATAATTTTACTAAGATTTTCTGGAAAAGAAAAATTTCTCAAATAATTTAATTCATTTGTGAATAATTTTTGAAAATTTCATTAAAACCGACAATTATTTGATTTTTTTTGCAAGAATTTCTAAATCAATGTGGTTCTGATCGCAAAATGATGATAATAATGGTCACCCATTGACGAAAATATTTGAAAGTTCTAAAAAGTATTAAAAAATATGAATAAAAAAAATTATTCCGTCTTTTCTTTTAATTCTTTTTTTTTAAGTCTTATTAGGCATTTTTCATCATTTTAGCGAATCTTTGGAGGTACAAAACGCACACACACACACACACACACACACACACATATATATATATATATATATATATATATATATATATATATATATATATATATATATATATAAAGGCACAAATAGTAAAATTGCATGAGGTTATATTTATTTCATTAGGGTCGTAAAACGGCTCCAAATGTCTGATGAATTGGAGTTGTTTTTACGACTTTAATGAAATAAATATAACATCATGAAATTTTACTATTTGTGCCTTTTAAAATAATAATTATTGTTCTGTTTCTGACATAGAGTTCTCCCTGGATTTATATCCTTTCGGAAATGTCCTTACTGATCACTAATATTATATATATATATATATATATATATATATATATATATATAATTTATATATATATATAACATATATATGTTATAAAATCACTACGAAAATAGCCATTTTGTTTCAATATCACTGGTGTCTTATCCATTTTGGTTTCAATATATATATATATATATATATATATATATATATATATATATATATATATATATATATATATATATCGCCAATATATATATATATATATATATATCGCCAATAATTGCATTAATATTGCTAATTGATTGAAGGTATGATTAACTCTTTTGTATATATATATATATATATATATATATATATACACACACACACACACACACACACATATAAATTAATTACATAATAGAGAAATTCAAAATTACCTCCTGTGTATAGACTACTTCAACTAAGCATTTTTCGATTCAACTGATGGACTGATTGTGTGTTAGAAAAGAGACAGCAGTTGAAAAATTGATACTGGGCTAACCAAACAAAACGGCCGGGTGGTGTTGTCTGGCTTAAATGCAAAACGGCTGCACAAATTCGACCCAGAGACTAACCCTAACACCCCAAGTTGAGGTTACGGAAAAATTCGAAGGGAAATTAAAGGATGACCAGAAAAAAAGTTAGTAATTCGAAATTATTAATTATTAGTTAGATAACAAAAAACAAGAAAATTTGTTACTATTAAAAATTATAAAATTATGCTTGCAAATAAAATATAAGATTAACAATAAATCTTTTATTTTAAATAGATTTAATAAGAAAAAAAATTGGAAAAAATAAGAAAATAAAAAAACAAACAAAATATATATATATATATATATATATATATATATATATAGAGAGAGAGAGAGAGAGAGAGATAGTATTCACAAAAATGAAAGAGCTTAAAAAAGTAAATGTATAGAATGATGCAATTATTAACAAATTACAAATAAAAAAACGGAAAGAAAGTTAGAAAATGAACAAAGGAAAGAAAGTCAAATTGTGTTGTCTCTCATAGACTGGCTGCCACACAGGGCTAGTGCGCTGAGTTGATTTTGATTTTTAACTTATAGCTTGGGAATTGTTATATTATGTGTATGCAAAAGTTTTCAATGATTTAATTTTGAGATCTAGGATCTTTCGGTTTAGGATGGAGTGATCTTGCACTCACCAACCCCATGCGGTGACCTCATTTATTTTTCAGAAATTAAGAATAAGAATAATAGGAAAATTAATAAAATGAAAAAAAGTTGTCATTATTTAAAAATTCGGAGAGACAATGAAAATATATGTACATCATTTCTCAGTAAAGATTTTTAGTTGCTTGGTTTATTTTGTTTTACGGCATATCAATCTCAAATGAGTTATTTAATGCCGACAACATTTTTAGGATAGATTCGTATGAATAGAATATGTATTCTTTGGTTTAGATTGATTTGGTTTATTTTGTTTTACGGCATATCAAGCACAATTAAAGCCGACAATTTGTATTGCTGGTAATATTTTCCTTCAAAAATGTATCGCTTGTAATATTTTTCCAAAAATATACAGCTTGTAATTTTTTTTTCCAAAAATATATAACTGGTAATAATGTATTGCTGGTAATAACTTTTCCTCAAAAAAGTTAATTGCCGTCACCAAAACCCATTTTACACTTTCATAGTGTTTTGACCTCAGTTTGGGGATTAACTATTTACCCATAGCTAGGAACCCCAACAGGTGCCACCACCCCGGGCCAGAGCGGACCCCAGCAATCAAGAGGTGGTTCCACGCCCCCCAAAAACTCCTGATCAGAGGCCCCAGGACGCGGATATAGTTTATTGTCATACCCAGGACGGATCGGTCAAGAAGTGCTATATCTAATATGAAATTACAGTCTATCACTTGTTGGTTGGTCGTATGACCTAGGTGAAAGGTGTTACCTATAAAATTCTTAATGACGTTTTCGATAATTATGTGTCAGACATTTTTTTTTATAATGTAAAAAACAAAGAGTATTGTTTTTATGCAATAAAGTTAAAATTAAAATCCGAAGAAAATAAAATCAGTAATCTTATATTTACATTG